TGTTTGTTAGGTATAGAATACCGCATAATATGTATTACTTCTTATTCTATCTGTGTGCTAAATTTTATCCAAATCTGTTCGGAAGTTTCAGTATGGTGGAGTAGCAAACATGCGTACACACAAACAAACCTTTTACATTTTAGTAGCCCGATTATAATATATGCAACATACGTTTATGTGACAAGAATGTATTTGAAAATGTATATGTGGGACATTTGAGTAGGATAATCCCATATAAAGCAGACTCGTATTCTAAATAAGTGGTTGAAATTTAAATTTAAAATACTCATAGCCACAAGCTGAAACCACTAATATAAATTTGTTTATTTTGCTTATTTATGAATAACGAAAACCCGTTTTATTTTTTTTGTTTGTTTCACATGTAATTGAGGACACGGGAGTATATTTTAAATATATTTTTCCTTATATAATATGAAGTTACTATAATATTAATTATACACGTTTCAACGTTTAGTATCTAGATTTCTCAGAGATATTTTCGAAGTAGTAAGTTCTCTTAAGAACCCTACATGTTGACTCTGATAACCAGCTATCATCGTACCAAATTTCATCAAAATCTGTTCAGTGGTTTTCTCGTGATGCGTTCCCAAACAGACGGACAGGCAGATAGGCAAACATTCTAAAAACTACAGATTCGGCCTCTGTATCGATAATAATGACTAAGATTTTCCAAATAATGTTTAATGTACGGATTCAGGTTTAGTTACAATTTTATTATATAATGTATGTAGAGATGAAGTTACTATATAGGTAAATTATATAAATACATACATACTTATCCTAAAAGAAGTCGACAAGTAATACAGGGCAAAATAAACATTCGAAAAGAAAGTAAACAAATCTATAGAAATGCCAACTTTAAAATTTTCAGGAAAACTTTCCAAGAATAAAGCCTCTTTTTAAAAATTAAGTGACTGCACCGTCTGTTTTAATTAACTGTAGGATCAGAAGGCAACGAGTCTTCGACAGAATTTTTAAACAACTCGCGTACTTTAAATCACTTTTTACGCTTATAGTTTTATATTATTTCTATGATAGGGCTGAACTGACGATAATCAAATATAGCTTATAAAAACTTAAAAAAATAAATAAAAACCGACTTAAAGGCACTATAATGTAAAAAAAACTGCACGGTGGTTTTCATTTAGAATAGATACCTAATCAGATATTTTCGAAGTCGCTTCTCTCGTTGTTACTGAGAATTTTTGACAAAAATACTCAATACGACCTGAGCCGTAAATACTAACCACTAGACCACAGAGGCTGTTATTATATATTAGTAATTTATATATATATATGTGTGTGTGTGTGTGTGTGTGTGTGTGACATACGGTAGGAAAAGATGTTACTGATCTTTGTAAAAAGTGGCGCTGCCTTATAGCATTATAAAAGAGAAAAATAAAAATTATAAAAACCCCCGACCATCTTGGATTTTCATCAAACATAGCTAAGAGCACTCCTGACTAATCCACCTTTCAGACAAAAAAAAATGAAAATAGGTTCATCCGTTCGGGAGCTATGATGCCACAGACAGACACACACACAGACACACACACAGACACGTCATACTTATAACACCCCGTCTTTTTTGTGTCGGGGGTTAAAAACAATAGACCTTTCAGGGATGTACCCGAACAAGGCAAGGATAAGTCACTTGTAAAATAATAAAATATTCGATCTGAATTCATGGCCTACTCGTTTAGTACTAACAATAAACCGCATTTTATCACCACTATATATTCGCAAGGAACGTTTTCTAGCAATATATTTTTTATTACGATTGTCTAGTGGATTAATAGACCCTAAAGTTTAAACATAAATAATTATATATATATATATATATATATATATATATATATATATATATATACGTGTGGGTGGGTGTGTGTGTGCGAAAAGTGGGCAGCTATTGAGTTTCTTGTTGGGAAAAAATAGTTTATAAATTTTTAGGGATTTTATAGCATTCTATTTAGATTTTCTTTCACCCGATGTTTCAACCAAACGTATTTTACAGCAACTATGGTCATGGGTGAAACATGGTTATAATTGTCATAGTTTTTGTACTTATTAAAGACGGTATGTTCCATGTGTAGAGCAAAAGTTTTTTTAAGTGCATTATCAATTAAAATTATTTTTTCGGATATTTTTTGCGAATTTTAATTTTTGATTTGTATGACCGAATATTTTCCATTTCGAATGCTTTACAGCAATCATCCCGTGATCATGATTTATTTTAAAATGTCAAAAAATCATGTAAATCTAAAAAAGTATTACTTTATTAAATTCTAAGATTTAAGAAAAAAAGAAACATTGATGTTAAGTCAATCACCCACTTGACATTTTGTACACCTGTAACCTCTATTTGCTACCACTATCGATATATAATTTTCGTAGAAAATAAATTTAGGCGTTTCGTCAAAACGAACACAAGAATTCAACTTGATAGAATTCACTTTTAATAATATTTTTTGCGAATTTTAAGGTTAAGGCTTAGGGTTCTTTAACTACATATATTATCTATACATATAATAAAATTTAACTTAGCCGAATCTGTACATTAAATATTTTTTGGAAAATCTTATTGAAATAGACATTATTATCGATACAGAGGCCGAATCTATAATTTTTAGAATTTTTATCTGTCTGTCTGCCTGTTACCGCATCACAGAAAAACCATTGGAGGGATTTTGATGAAATTTGGTATAGTGATAGCTGGTTGTCCGGGTCAACATATAGGGTACTTTTTACAGCGGGAAAATATCTCATTCCTGAGAAAAAATACAAAAACTTCATTGTAAGAGTGTATTAATATGTACAACCTAAGAATTTGCTTTTTGTTCATCTGAACGCGGGCGGAGCCGCGAGCAATGCTAGTATGTTATATAAAATAATATTGAAAATATTACATACCGCTCTCTTCAATATACTTAATAATTAATTAAAAAAACATCGATTGTAATTAATATAAAAATTGTCGACAACAAAATATAAAAGGGCACTTTAAAATTATGCTCTTAAAAGGTTTTAGTGGCACGAACAACTTTTAAATATATTCTGTCACCTTTCATAATTCAACTGAGATGGTATAGTGACACCGAGCTGTATTATTATAAAAAGTTATAAAAAAAAATAACCTATATGAAATAAAATATTACACAACTGTACATGTTAAAAAAATAGTTGTTTCTACAAAGTAAGTACCAGAAAAAAGAGAACTATAAATGTATTGGTACTGGGTATTAATGAATACACAGCATCATCTAGTTCCATGGTAAGCTACGAGGCTTGTGTTATGGATACCAGATAGTTGATACATTACACATATATAGCTTTAAATATATACATTTTATAAATCTATACACCCATGACTGGAGTACAAACATTCATGCTCACAAATCACCCAAATGAATGCCTCCAGCGGGCCTCGAACCTGCGACCGCTGGCGCTGAAAATAGGGTCACTACAAACTGAGCCAAACGTGTCGTCATATCAAGAGAACTAAAAACTCACTTTCATAATATTAATAATAATAAAGAGAGTAGTTCACGCTATTTTCAAGAAGTTTTTGACACATTTTCTTATATCACAAACAATTTTACATGAAAATAATACGAAAAATGATTAAAAAACAACATAATTGGCGTTTCATAATCTTTTAAGCAATAAAATATTCATAAATTTTTAATAATGGTTTTAAAAGTCAAATACCTGTAACACTGTATCAAATACCCTATTAACTAGCTATTATTCTATGAACAAAGGCCTTTGTAACGTTTCGACACGACAGTATACAATAATTGGCGTTAAGATTGCGCCTCAAACGAACAATAGATAGTACATAAAAAGTTTTCTATTATCTACTAAAAGATAAACATTAACAAGACTTTTTCTCCCATTTAATCAACAAAAAGTGGAAAATACGAGTATATCAATAAGTTGTAACAAACTTCAGATATAAATAGCTTGATACTAAGGTTTTAGTGCGTACCCACTATTTTACAAAAATGATTTATAAAAGTTAAAAATGGCACCAAAGTACCTTTATAACAATATTTGTTGATTTCAATTTATATATATATATATATATATATATATATATATATATATATATATATATATATATATATATATATATATATATATATAGCAATGAATTTATTTTTTATTTTTTTTATAAACTTTTTGTAACATTTTGTCTAAACTCCTAGTAAAAGTAAAACGCCAAAATTTAAAGAACACATATTTTGCACACTTTTAGATGTTAGAAGCTTATTTATAGATAAATGTCGTATAAAGCTTGCTTTTCAAAGGTCCGTACCGTATGTCTCCGCTGTCCGTTCGTTCGACTGTTAGAGGGCTATATCTCATGATCGGTAATAGGTAGAGAGTTGAAATTTTCGCAGAGTGTGTATTTCTATTGCCGCTATAACAACAAACAATAAAAATACAAGAAACATTTTTTAATGTTCGTAATCGATCATCGAAGTTAATATACTAGTACATACATATAGTAAAGGTCATATAAATAAAAACTACATCTACAATGGTACGGAACCTTCCCTCCGGACCTCTGAACTGTACAGACGTGTGTTCAATAACTTTGTTTATTTTATTCATTTTTCGGATTTTAATATTGAAAAATCATTGTAAAATAATGGGGCAACATACATAAAGAGGAGTAATATCAACGCTTCGAAACTTCGAGCCTGCCAATAGTATGTATTAACATATTTTCTTATTACGCGAAGAGGAACTTAAAGTCGCCAAAGAAAGAGCTTATTACGCCGGTTGGTAGCGAAAGCGAGATAACACTATTACTCATCGTTCATCTTTGAAGAGATCAACTTATGCTAGACGGAAAGCCGGTTTGTACGACGCCACCGCTTGCCTGACCATTTTGAAGACCCCTTAACATTAGATCGCCTGCACTCAAACGTTTTTTCTGGTTGCCTAGTACATTGTATATTGTAAGCAGAAACATGCCGCTAAACCGTACGCCGCCACTTGCAACTCATGCGCTTACAACAAGTAATATCGCCCGCACTTCGTCTGAGCCTCATATTAGTGGAGATAGCGTTACTATTAGCGAGTTATTAGATACCAGTACCCCAAAACCTACGTTTAGAAACATTAAAAGAAAGCGTTCGGAATCAGATGGCGACTTCAATTACTTTATTACGGAACTAAGACAAATGTTTCATGAGCTTAAAGTGGACCAGTCTAGTAAAATTGACAAGCTGTGCTCTGCTGTCGAAGATATGCGCTCTTCAGTTACATTTCTAGCAGATAAATATGAGTCGCTGCTATCTAAGTATGAAAAACTGGAATCGGAGCGAAACGACGATCTCAAATATATTAAATTATTAGAGGACAAAGTTGAAAATTTGGAGAGTCATTCCAGGTCAACTTGTGCTGAAATCAGGAATATCCCGATAAATGCTGGTGAGACTAAGGACCATCTAATAAATACCGTAGTAAATACCGGAAAGGCCCTTAATATTGATATCCAACGCCATGAAATAAAAGATGTCTTTAGAATCAAAACAAAAACTCCTAATAATAAAATTTTGATAGTCGATTTCTCCAGTGTTATAACGAAAGAAAAACTGATCAGTGCTCATAGGAAGTTTAATAGGGGTAAAACAAAGCTGACAACTGAGCACTTGAAAATTAGCGGCGTCTCCAAGCCTGTCTTTATCTCCGAAAATCTTACTTTTAAAATGAAAAGAATTTTCTTTTTAGCCAGAGACTACGCTAAATCCAATGGCTTTGCCTTCTGCTGGGTTTCTCATGGAAAAATCTATATTCGAAAAAAGGAGGGCGATCCTCTTATTCGAATAGCGAGCGAATCTGATCTTGCACAAATACAAAAATGACTATTTTCAATTTCCAGAACGAAAATACTAACATCTATTGTTTTCGTCTCAGACGATCGCTCTCCTATGTTAGTCTTAATTAAAAGTATAATAGGATTTTTCATATTTACTAAAGTCGTAATTTGTAATTTTTATATACATTTTAAGCATGTTTCATTATATATACAGTACACTAAATATAAACACACACATTCACTCTCATATACACAATTCAAATATACATTCTTCGTCTCTTTTTTGCCTATTTTAAAATATAAAAATCTCTTACATAGTCATGTTGATCAGCCTTATAGCTTCTATAACGGTATACATCCAGCTAACCAAACTTCAGCTCACGTTGCTTTTACTCACCTGTTAATCTTTAACCCCAAGTATGGATGATATTAACTCAATAGCGTACGATGTTGAACAGCTGTCTATATCTAAATCATATTTATGCTCCCCTGAAGATGTTCCCTTATATACAGCTCATGTGAAAAACTCGTTTAAAATATTTCATGCAAACATACGTAGCATAACGTGTAATTTTGATTGTCTACTGGTATTATTGCACAGGATTAAATTTGAAGTGGACATTGTAATCTTGTCTGAATGCTGGTTAAGAAAAACTCCTGTTGTTCCCATATTAAATGGCTTCAGGGTGCATGCTTCTGCACACCTTAACCAAAATGATGGAGTTGTTGTTTACATAAGATCCAATCTGAAAAGCACAGTTGAATCGACTGATATTATCGAAGCTAACAGTATCTTACTAAAATTAAACAACTGTGCAATTATAGCCATATACCGTTCACCTTCGTTTATCAATCTTAAACCGTTTATAGAATCTCTCGATAAAACTCTAAACAAATTAAATACTTATGTGAATGTTACAATTGTAGGAGATATTAACATCAATATATCACTAGATAATGACTCTCATAATAGTGATGACTATTTGAACATGCTCGCATCATATGGTATGCTACCTGCTCATCTTCTACCAACTAGACAAAATAACTGCTTAGATCATGTCATCTCTAGGTCTACAAATTGTACTGTTGCTATGGTTTTGGACTCATATATCTCCGATCATGCACCTGTTTTATTCTATTGTAACATAAAAGCACAAACACACTTGGCTAATCCAACAACTGATAAGATCGATATTCAGGGCACAGTTTCTTGTCTAGAGCAATCTGATTTATCTGCCATTTTTACATCTACTGATCCCAATGTTGTTACTGATATATTAATTGGCACAGTCTCTAGCGCTATCAAAGCGAATACTAAAATACAGTGCTTATCTAATAAACTACGAATTATTAAGCCCTGGATAACTCCTGGTCTCTTAAGATGCATTCGCCATAGGGATAACTTATATAGGAAATATAAAAAGCATCCAGACAACTTAAACTTAAAAACTATATTTTTGCGTTACCGTAACTTTTGTAATAACCTACTCAAAAAAGTAAAACGAGAATATGAAAAGAACGAGTTCAATAAAGTCAAAAACAGTCCAGGTAAAACTTGGAGTCTAATTAAAAAAATTGTTAATATGGGCCAAAAAGAAAGAAGCTGTTTGGAACTATTGGATATATGTAATCATCCATTGGAATCAGTAAATTCTGTTAATCAGTATTTTGCAAACGTAGGTAAAAACTTAGCAGACAATATAACACGTAAACAAGAGACCTCGTATGATATTGACTTTCCTAGACTTAACTATCTAGATACAATGAGCCTATATACAGTGACAGAAAAAGAAGTAAAAACAGCTATCATCAGTCTTAAAGACAAAACTGCCTCTGGTTGGGATGGTATACCCACATCTATTGTTAAGGCCACTGCGCATATTCTTATTCCGATCCTTACCAGATTATTCAATCTTTGCATCTCAAAAGGAATCTTTCCACGTTCTTTTAAAAAAGCAGTTGTACGACCTATTTACAGAAATGGTGACAGGAGCAGTATCTTTAATTATAGGCCAATATCTTTACTTACCACTTTTTCTAAAATTTTTGAAAAAATTCTCAACAAAAGGCTACTTATGTACTTGAATAAAAAAAACATCTTAGCAGAAAATCAGTTCGGTTTCCGTAGTGGTAAATCAACAGAAGATGCAGTTCTTAATCTTTCAGCTCAAATAACTAAAAATTTTGATAATAAAGTTAAATCGATTGCTGTTTTTCTGGATCTTGCTAAGGCTTTTGATACTGTCTCCATACCTCTTTTGTTGAATAAGCTGGAAGGTGTTGGAGTTAGAGGCCTTGCATTTAAAATTTTCAAAAACTATCTTGAGGAACGTCAGCAGTGTGTATGCATTGATAACTTTAGAAGTGGGGAAGAATCTGTTAGTTTCGGTGTCCCTCAGGGAAGTGTTCTTGGTCCTACTCTCTTTCTTATTTACATAAATGAGCTCTGCATGCTGCGCCTACCTAATAGTAAACTTTTAGTCTACGCAGATGACACTGTACTTCTTACTAGCGGTAAAACATGGGCAGAAGCTCAGGCTTCCACAGAATTATCGCTAAGAGCTATTATAAGTTGGCTTGGTTGCAATCTGCTCACTCTTAATGTGGATAAGACAAAATACCTTACCTTAGCTCCCTCTACTCTAGTACAGGCTCGGCCTTGTTTGACAATTCGTGCACACGTCTGTTCACTGACTATTAAAGAGTGTAACTGTCCCGTGTTAGAAAAAAGTTCCAGTGTTAAATATCTTGGCGTCATAATTGATAGCAATATGACATGGAGACAGCAAATCCATTCAGTAGCGTTGCGACTAAGAAAGCTCATATTTATTTTCAGGAAATTAAGGAATGTGGTAGATTTTCAATGTCAAAAAACAGTATATTATGCTCTGTGTCAATCCGTTATTTCATACTGCATTACGTGTTGGGGTGGATCTGCTAAAACGTTAATGTTGAGACTGGAAAGAGCCCAGAGAGCAGTTTTAAAAGTTATGTTCAATAAGCCAATCTATTTCCCCACGGCGGATTTATACGCTCTTAGTAATGTATTATCCGTAAGGAAAATTTTTGTTTTACAAACTGTTCTTCGAAAACACTCTGAGCTTCCTTATAACCCTAGTATATTATGTACTAAACGCAGATCCCACGCTATATGTCAAATTAATTCTGCAAGAACCGCGGTTGCAAAACGTCATTACCCATATCTAAGCTGTTTACTCTACAATAAGATCAATAAATTATTGAATATATATCCACTCACATCTTATCGTTGCAAATCTGTATGTTTAGCATGGCTTAAATCCATTACGTATGACGAGACTGAAGAACTTTTGACCATTGTTTATTAAAGAATTTGCATTCACACACACATATACACACACATACACATACACACACATTCACACACACACACTCACACATACATCATCATCATCTATTGTTTTTTAGTTTTTATAAAATACTTAGTTTAAATATTGTACGGAGGCGGGCGTTGATATCTGCAACGCAGTTTATACTTTTGCAGTATCATCGTAGCCATTGTTGTTTACTGTATACTTATAGGAATTTGATACTAAATAAATAAATTTCATTTCAATTTCAATTACGGAACCCTTCGTGTGCGAATTCGACTCGCACTTGACCGATTTATATTTTAATATGCACTTTAAAGTTATTAATACACTTTACAGTTGTTTTTTAGTTTTTAAAAGCAATTTTATTCGACTTGTTTTTGTTTTTTGTTAAAATTAGTGTTTTAAATTAACAATAAGAAAATATGTTTTTGGAAAAATTAATATTTTTATTTGTTCTGTTGTATATTTAAAATGGTGGCGAAGCTTATTTAAAAAATCACCTAGATCCTACCAAATTTATTTGTATATATGTATTAATTAAACTTTTCCAATAGAATTAATAATATTTTATTATTTCTACAAATATTACATGAAAATACATGTAAAACCGGGAAAACGTGCAATGTAAAATATAAAATAACATATGCATTACCTGTTTAGGACTTCTAATATTAATATTGGTTTAAAGTAACATGCTTTAACATTTAATTATCATATTCAATTCAATATAATTATAATGTTATATAAATAAATATATAAAAAAACAGAAAACGAAAATGTGAAAAATAAATTTAAAAAAAACAAAACGTGACGCCGAATGTTCGCTTCCCGTACCGGGAATCGAACCCGAGCCTCCTGGGTGAAAGCCAGGTATCCTAGCCACTAGACCATACGGGATGTACGTGTCATATTCAAAATGTTGTTCTATACAGACTTATTTTAATACTAGCAACTCACCCTCGATCTGCTCGGGTTCGTCCCTAGTAACGTTTTACCGTTCAGTATAGATTTCTCAGGACCACCGGACAGATTTTGATGAAGTTTCGTTTGATGATAGCTGGCTATCCGGGTCAATATGTAGGATACTTTTTACTCAAAGAAAATATCTCTGAAAAATCTATACTAACCATTAAAACGTATCTAGGGGCGAACCCGAGTGGAACGAGGATGAGTCGCTAGTAAATTATAAACTCAAAGTTAAAACGTTAAAAGTTCCGACATCACTTACCAACCATATCCTTCTATATTAAAAAATAGTATTATATCTTATAGGATTAAATTTTATATCAGGATTTTCCGGGAGATTTGTAAGAGCTTTAGAAGTATGCAGCCACAAGACAATTTAATACTGCAATAAAGTTGTAACATAAAGTGTTCAGATTGCATTTTATTTTACTTTAATTTGACAAACATATATAACCTTATTTTATAAATCTTTTAAAGTATAAAAAAGCTTATTTTACTTAAAAAAGCACTTAATTAGAACATGACATAATTACACTAAAACTAATTTATATGGACAAGAGAACCAGAAACCCATAGAGTTTTAATAAGATTTTATTGTATTGTCGCATTTTTTTTCAATTCGTCGGACTATTTCGTACGTAAATGATCGCCATAATAATAATATTACCTTTATAGTTTTACTTTACGAACCAAACCTATGATCTTAGCACATAAAAAGGAAAATTTAATATTAGAATTGTTTATTTTAATTACAATTGTAAGGTTGCATTTTTATATATTGAGTGTTTTAGTAGAAAATAATATATTTGATTAATTTGTAATGATTTATGTATAAGGCATTTACTTATGTGACCTTGGCCGATAGGAATGTGTTTTAAAAAGAATAAAAAAAAAAGGCGCAGATATTCATTTGTTGTCCTGCGCTTGCGGGGAGAGATGTCGGTACTGCCCTGTAGTGACTGGTTACGAATTGCTTGTAGTACTAAAAATTATGGTTATAAATTATGTAACTCACTGGCGATCATAAAAGTACTGAAGGAAAATCTCGAAGTTTTATTTGGGATTTTACACAATGTATTCGTATATAAAAATATTTATAAAAAGAAAACTTGAGAGATCTTTTAAAATTTACTGAATGTAATTTATGTTTTAGCTCTGAGCATTGCATAGAACACAACCACAATAAAAGGAACAAAAGTATGAATAACGTTGCAATTGCATTGGTTTATTTAAAATAGCTTGCAATTTTCCATCCATCTTCGGACCGCTGGAGAAATAAGTTTATATTATTTCCTTGTAATAATTCTTCAATGAAAACCAGCATATGAAAAGTGCGCAGCGTAGCATATACTTTACTTTTACTTTGGCAATAAATCTTGAGATCGTGAATTCTATTCTCGTTTAAGACAAAGTACCTGGACGACGCTCGCCATTTTATTTTTGTAAAATCATGTTTTAACAAAATACACGTAGTACAAGAATTGCTCATTTAATATTATAATTATTATGTTACTAGCGACTCACTCTCGTTCCGCTCAGGTTCATCTCTACGTTTTAAGGTTAGTATAGATTTCTCAGATATACAAAATTTTCCCGCAGTAAAAAGTATCCTAAGCGTTTATCCGGATAACCAGCTATCATCACACCAATATTTATCAAAATCGGTCCAGTGTTTTTCTCGTGATGCGTTCCCAGATAGACAGACAAAAATTCAAAAAACTATAGATTCGGCCTCTGTATCGATAATAATGGCTATTTCAATAAGATTTTCAAAAAAATGTTTATTGTAAAGATTTGACTCAGAATTTTATTATTTACATATTGATTAAAATATTCGTCGTTTGAAAGTAAAATGTGTGTTTGACATTATTCTGTATACCTTTATGTATATCTGTATATCTTTATAATAGGTACTCTTTCTGTTATTCTTATTTTATTGTATGCTCCCAGGATGATAACGCTTTTCCATACATACCTATAATAAAATTGTAACTAAGCCGAATCTGTACATAAAATATTTTTTGGAAAATCTTATTGAAATGAACATTATTATCGATACGAAGGCCGAATTTATAGTTATTAAAAAAATTTCTGTCTGTTTGTGACCGCATCACGGAGGGATGGAGGGATTTTGATGAAATTTGCTCAGACCTCAGACTTACGAATGAGCAGCCGTACATGCTAGCTACTACACTACCGAGGCAGTTTTAACTATTACAAAATATAAAATTAAATAATAACTAAAATATCAGTTTTAGTTTGAAAATAAATACATACTAACCAAACTTTGTCCAACTACAAACTGTTCTGGCAAACTAAAGCGATTTCATGAAAGTACATTATAAATGTTTTATATGGGCCGGTCGTGATTGTTTATATGATAAGGCTGACCATTTCGTTTGTAAAAGACTCTATTAGTTTTGTTAGCTTCACTTAAAACGAACAAAATATTTAATTAGGTTTTAAAGTCAATTTTAATCTACTACCCTATTGTCGTATGGATTTGAAAGATTTTAAGGTATATGAAATACGGATGTTGATACAATAATTTCATGCAATCGAGCTAATCTGATGATGACGTCAAGAGGTTGATAGTGGAACAAAAAATGCTCTCCAAGGCACGGCGTACACCGCCAAGATGCCAACTCCGGGTTGCTACTGAATATTTCGTAGCAAAAGAACACAGTAATTATTTTGGTTTGACCCGGGATTCGAACTCGAAACCCCGCGATCTGCAGCCGTGCATTGTGATCACTATACCAACGAAGAGTTATGTATGTATAAAAAAACTTTTTAACAAAAAAATAAAAACCGACTTCAAAAAAAGCACTAAAAAGTAAAAAATAACTGATTGGTAGTTTTCATTTACTATACATACCGAATCAAATATATTCGAAGTCGGTGTGCTTTGCTTTGTAATGGCTGGCAGGTAGGAGGTAACAAACATAAAAAAAACATACAGCCGAATTGAGAACCTCCTCCTTTATAAGGAAGTCGGTTGAAAAAGAAAAAGGTTATGACCAAAATGTAATAACTTTAAACTTATCCCCAAATAAATTGACAATCACGTAAACCCTAATCTGCGTATGATAATAAAATTTTATGTTTACGTCATAATATTATTTATGGAATCAAAATTGTAAATTAAATGTTTTAAAGATAAAAATTTGGAATTTTGGGATTTGACTGGATATAATATTGTTTTAATATGTTTTAATTAGCTGCACTTGTAACAATGTATAGACAAGATGTTCTTTAATATATTTTAAGAAACACATATTTCATTTTTCTTTTAAAATAAATAAATATGTTGGGACATTAACACACAGCACCATCTAGTTCCATGGTAAGCAACGAGGCCTGTGTTATGGATACTAGATAGTTGATTCACTGTAGTGTACATATATAACTTTAAATACAAACATATATAAATATAAACACCCATGACTAGAGTACAAATATTCGTGATCATCACACAAATGAATGCCACAAGCGGGACTCGAACCCGCGACCGTTGGCACAGCAAGTAGGGTCGCTACAAACTGAGCCAAACGTGTCATGATTAATTTCTTGTTATTCGTACGCTGAAACGGTTGAGCGGATAAAATTTTAAATACAAATAGACCTGGAGTAATAATTAGGCTATTGTTAAACACCGATGAACGCACTCGAGTGAAATGAAGGTAAATCACTAGGAAATAAACCAATAATACAAACATTTACCAACCATACAAAGCAAAATTAGGCAAAAGGTCAAATCAAAAATACTTTTACAAATAAGAAAAACAGTGTCATAATAAATAGTCAATTTAATACCACGTAAACGAAGTCACGGGAGAAAACGGTAATCCATACTAATATTAAAAACTAGCGGCTTAGCTCGCGTTTGCCTCTTAAACAAAAACCAAGCTATCCCACGGAAACCGTACATTTTTCCTAGATGAAAAGTAGATTATGTGCTATTCCAGACTATAATCTATCTCTGTGCTAAATCTCATCCAGATCCGTTCAGCCATTCTGGCGTGATTGAATAACAAATATACATTCAAACTTCTAAACTTTCACATTTATAATATTATATATATATATATATATATATATATATATATATATATATATATATATATATATATATATATATATATATATATATATATATATAATATTCGATAAGATTTGGCAAGGACACAGATTTCAACCTGGAATTGGATACAGGCTACCCAGAATCCCTGTCCCACTACAACGCGAGCGAAGCCGCGGTCAAAAACTAATAGTCTATACATATAATAAAATTTAACTAAGCCGAATCTGTACATTAAATATTTTTTGGAAAATCTTGTTGCAATAGACATTATTATCGATACAGAGGCCGAATCTATAGTTTTTAGAATTTTTGTCTGTCTGTCTGTCTGTTACGCATCACGGAAAAACCACTGGAGGGATTTTGATGAAATCTGGTATGATGGTAGCTGGTTATCCGGGTCAACATATAAGATACTTTTTACTGCGGGAAAATATCTCATTTTTGAGAAAAAATATAAAAACTGCAATGTAAGAGTATACTAGTAGGTAAAACTTAAGAATTTGGTTTTTGGTCATCTGAATGCGGGCGGAGCCGCAGGCAATGCTAATATATAATATATCACTAGATCCATTTTCCATCAATTGTATAATCAGACAAACAATCGGTTATACAAACACCGACATCGATAATCGATCACAATCAACATCTGCAAATAGGGACGCAGACTGAATCTACAAATTCGTTGTAATTCGCGCATGATTACTATCACATTTTAATTTAAATACTATTACCGTATGTGCTTTGTATGGAAATGGTTTTACTGTTTGTTTCTAATCACCTGGATCTATAAAACTGACTTTAGAGTCTGTAGGCTATTTGTTTATTAATATTTTTTTTATATTTACGTGAATATTTGATACTAGCTAGCGGCTGACTCTGGCTTCGCTCAGAAAAAAAAGACCTATCTCATGGGAACCGTACATTTTTCCGGGATAAAAAGTGGCCTATGTGTTATTCTGATGTATGAGCTATATATAGTAAAGTTTCATTAAAATCCATTCAGTAGTTTTTGCGTGAAAGAGTAACAAACATCCATGCATCTATACATCCATACATCCTCACAAACTTTTGCATTTATAATATTAGTAGCTTACTAACTCAATTGGATAAAACTTAGATATTGTATAATGATATTGTATAAAAAACATTAAAAATTAATACTTTCTTAGATTTACGCGAATATTTGACATTTTAAATAAACTATCTTTTCGGATTTTTTCGCGGATTACTGCCATCGTCATGGAATCCTGTTATTAATATAATAAAATCAAATAATAAATTTAAACATAACAGACCATTAGATGTAGTAAGTTTATAGTTAGATGTAGTGATGTAGTAAGTAGTCGCGTAAATCTAAGAAAGTATAAATATTTTATTTCTTTATGGTTATAAATATAATAATGGCAACAATAATTAATATAATTAATAATTCATATATTTTTCCAAAAAATTGTAATGATTATAATAATAACAGCTAAAATTAAATAAATAATATTCCCTATTCAATTATAAAACTAATTAAAATTATAAAAATGTTTAAAATTAAAAAATATTGTAAGGTACTTTGGTGCCATTTTTCAATATATTTTTTTTGTTTCGTTTTGTTATTTGTTGGTAGGCTGTCTGTAACAACTATGCGGACCGAGGGTGAATATCTATATGTATAATGCCTTTGAGACATCTAACACCTTAGTCTCTCTCGTGACCATGATTAAATATAAATCATTCGAAACGTCGGGAACCAAAATTCCAAATAAATCTGCGAAAAAATCCGAAAGGATATTTTTGTTTTAAACATTAAAAATTAATTATGATGAATATTATAAAAAAATAATAAGTGGCTATTTGAGAGTTAGGTTACAAAATTTTTGTAATTTATGTATCAAACAATTTCCTTTAAATACCATATATAACAGTTACAAAGGTAAATAGATCACTTCAGTTTTAATCGAAGTACGGCCAACATTTTGGCAGCACAATACAGAAAGTTTCTGGATTGAATCCAATTTAACTGAACTTGTTCTTTAGCAAATACAAAATTTTCCGTAGTTTCGCCTATTCGAGGAATGAAATGAGATATAAATGTCAGGTTTTGATTTAAAAGATGCCAGGCATTTTTATATGTATGTATGAAATCTCGGTCAAGGAAAAACCCTAACGTGTCTATAATGTTTTTAACTCAGCCATGTTAAACACAATATTGACTTTTATAGTTTTACTACTACTAAATCATATAGGCAGATATAGCCCAGCGGTAACGCGCTCGCTTGAGAAACCGAGTGGAGCGGGTTCAAATCCCGGGTCTCGCACCTCTGATATTTTCATGTGCGAATCATTTCTAACATGATTACCATTTGCCTTACGGTGAAGGAAAACATCGTGAGGAAACCTGCATGTCTGAGAGAATCTAGCAAGTTTTCGAAGGACATGTAAAGTCCGCCAACCCGCACTTGGCCAGCGTGGTGGACTATGCCCTGGTCCCCATCGTATTGAAGGGAGGCCCGTGTCCAGCAGTGGGACGTTGAAAAGGGCTGAATACAAAAGTCATATAGTCGTCTAACAAAAGCATCTAGACAGGGAAATTGGGTTTTGACATAACTGTAACTTGCTATAAGAGAGCACTACGTCATAACTTCAAACCCCTTTAAAATGAAAATTAGTATGTTTAAGCAACCCTAGCATTTGGCGGGTTTTTCGTGAAATTCAAAGGTCACCTACTGTATGGCTTTTTGTAATGTGATTTTACTCTAACACATGCTACCATAACCATGTTAATTTGTATATAATAATTCTTACTATAATGACCAATATTAATTTCTTAAGCTCTCAAAGAGAGTGTTTTCTATTTTATTATTTAAAATGTAATATTAAATACCGTACCAGATATAGAACTGTATTAATATTGTACTTGATCTTATATAGAAAAAAATGGGGAATAAAGAAAGAAAGACTCATAAAAGTATGAAGATATTAATTCGAATTTATTTTTTATACTAGCAACTCACCCTCGCCCCGCGCGAGTTCGTCCTTAGTTACGTTTTATATTTTCTTTTTTAGTTTTATAGTTAGATATTTTCCCACAGTATAAAATATCCCATATGTTGACTCGGAAAACCAGCTATCATCATACCAAATTTCATCAAAATCCAGTGGTAATGCATCTGTCTGGGAATGCATCATGAGAAATCCAGTGGTTTTCTCATGATGCATTCCCAGACAGACAGAGCGACAGACAGATGACAGACAGACAAAAATTCTAAAAACTATAGATTCGGTCTCTGTATCGATAATAATGACTACTTCAATAAGATTTTCCAAAAAATATTTAATGTACAGATTCGACTAAAATAGAATTTTATTATATGTTATTAAATAAAACTATCTTTTCGGATTATTTCGCGGATTTATTTTGATTTTTGGTTCCCGACGTTTCGAATGCTTTACAACATCCATGGTCATCCATGATCCAACATCATGAGACTTGAGGTGTTACATGTCTTGAATGTATAGTTGTTACAGACAGCCTACCCACAAGTAACAAAATGAAAGTTGCACCAATTACATTACAATATTTTTTTTATTATATGTATAGACATACCTACTAAATTAATTAAGCAATGAGCCCTTTTGTGAACCCGTTTGATAATTCTTTTGATAAAGAATAGTGTTTACGTCGAGGGTGGAATTTCACAATATTTTACCCTCCTTTAAGCCATTTTAGTTGTGATGAGAATATTTCTTTTGAAGTATTTTGTCTCTATTCTACCTAGGGCTGTCGATCACATTAGATTTAAAGACATTTATTTTCAAAAACGAACATAGTACATTTAATATTAGGAAAGTTATATAAAAAAAAACTTATGTAACGAATCAAACAGCAGTACTAATTAATCGGATATTTCGAAAGTAGGTATGTGTTTCTTTAATTTCTTCTTAAATATATTAATAGATTTTGCATCTTTTACATCTTTAGGTAACGAATTGTATAGCTGTGCTCCTTCAAAGAGAATCATTTTTATACCATATTTAGTTCTAGTTTTTGGTAAATCTATTTTTTTCTATTTCTTGTACGATGCGATACATTTCTAAGTTTATTCACCGATTTGGTTTTCAACATCTTCCATACGATTACTTCAATAACAATATATAATAAAAATGTTGCTTTAAAAAAACAAGTAAAACGATGACGTACAAACAGGTAAAAGATACAGAAAAAATCTATACAGATAAATAAAATTGATGTGTCTGTTTGTAATGTCAAAGTAACAGCTTTTTACTAAATGCATATGAAATTATACACGGTGCATATACCAAAACAACATTTTTTACATTTTTTGTCTGTCTGTCTGTTTGTTCCGAATAATCTCTAAAATGGCTCGACCGATTTTGACGGGACTTAATTGGAAAATAATTTCTACATCTTGCGATAGAATATTTATAAAATCGGTACAATTATTATATTATAAGTTAGTACAATAATCATTTCTTCAGCATTGTACGTTGCTACGGTGCCCTAATCCAGCCGTATTTTCATTTCATTCCACCCCTTTAATTAAATCAACAAAAGGGAAATTTGGCTTATAAATCCCACAAAGACGGCTTGAATCATAAAAATACGTAAACAATAAACAATTTATATAGAAATAAGATAGCCCGGGGGTCAGATCCACTGTGTGTTGGTTTTGAAGAATTCTGACATTTTATCTGTTATTAATAATTTCTCTCGCGCAAAAACAACAAAGTTCATTGTAAAAACTGTGTAAAAACCTGTAAAGAAATTCTTTTATTATCTTTTACATAGATGTGAATTGTTATGGATAATCATAATTATTAATTTAATTATTATAAAGAAGGCATGTTTGTAAGTTTGGATGTACTGGGGGTAATCGCTGAAAGCAATCCGATTCAAAAATTTCTTTTATCAATATTTTAAATAGACTTATACTGCTGTAAATAAAATCGTGCTGGTTGCGAGGATGAGGTTTGTTATCTATCCTCTAGTAAGTAGTGTTAGAAAAAAGCGAAATACCACTCACTAACTAACTGATCATGAAACCTCGGATATTACTAAAGCTAGACAAAATTTCGTCAGATGATATTTTGGGTAATGTAAAAAAGTAAGGATTTTTTATAGGAAAATTTAAGGAAAAAATATATTATAAGGGGATGCCACTTCCCCTTTCC